CGCCCGCACCACGTGTTGACAGCTGTCAGAAGCCCCTGCATAATACAGTATTGTAGTAGATACGATTCCAAGTCTCCAGTTGTTATTCCAAAAGGAAGCATCTGCGTCAGCATCGAAGACCGAAAAATGGAGTTGGGCAGGTCAAGCGTCGTGATAGCGCGTCTTCCGGCGCGCCTGCTAGACCGAGCGCCACAGCCAAGGGGTGAGAGCCACCGCCTCATCCATCCATCATTCCCGGGATCATCGCTCAGAGGGGCATTCGCGACTTTGGCGATTGCGACCACAATGACTTGATTATTTTCACTCAAAGACTTTGTCTACTTCAATGCCATAAAATTCCCTCAAGCAAACCTCAACTTCCAAGTTTGGCGGTCGAAGCCCTTTCGCCGCGATGCCGCTCATCACCCCCTCACGGCTCGCCATCATCATCGTCTCCTTTTCGCTCTTGACTTTCTTCTGGACTTTTGGCCTGCCGCAACAGACGCCCCAGCCGACGATACCCGTCATCGACCATTACGACCACAAGAATGTGCATACCGAGCCGATAATACCGCCGCCCGTCATCGAGACTCCGCACGCGACATCCACGCCGATAGCACACGGAGATCATCCGAAGGAGACAGATGATCACAGATGGGACGATAAGGGAGCGCAGGGTGGAAAGGGGAAGACAACACCATCCGCGCCTACCGAGACAGGCGTCGCGGAGTACGAGGAAGATGGCGGAAGATGGGAGGATAAAGAAAAGTTGAAAGGTGGTGATAAGCCCAAGAGCATGTTGGCTTCAGGCGCAACGGCCGCACCTACAACACTGGCCACTGAGGCGAAACCTGCATCGAAGACTCCGATTGCGGCCAAGCCGGATGTTGCGCCCACGAAGCCTGCCGAAGCCGCCGTCCCTACACACGCAGTCGAGAAGTTCTGCAGCGACGCCGACGGAGCGAAAGACGTCATGGTCGTCCTCAAGACATCGAAAGCCGAAATCGAAAAGCTCAACAGCCACCTCAGCAATCTGCTAGCCTGCGTTCCCACCTTTGCCATCTTCAGCGACCACACCGGCGAGTTCCAAGGGCACAAAGTACACGATGCGCTCGATTCAATAAGCGGCGAGACCAAGTTCAAGCACAATGAGTTCCAGGAATACCAGCTTATGCATGCTGATGCGGAGCACAAGCCAGACACGAAGAAGCTGGAGGAGCTTGAAAAGTGGAAGTTCTTGCCCATGGTGTACAAGGCATACCACATGAACCCCAGCGCCAAGTTCTTCGTCTTCATTGAAGCCGACACAAGTCTGAGCTGGACGAACCTGTTGCAATGGCTGAACAGGCTGGACTACCGGATACCGTACTACAGCGGAGCGCCCTACTACATCGCGGGCACGCAGGTGGCGCAACGCGGAGCGGGCATCATGATGTCCCAGGGCGCATTACGCCGGTACTCCAAATCTTACGATGAGCTCTACACAACCAAGTGGGAACCGGACAACGGCGAGCAATGCTGCGGCGACTTGATGCTAGCAAAGGCGCTTGGCGACGCACACGTGGAATTCTACGCTTCTTGGCCACTTCTCCAGAGTGAGCAGCCAAGTACACTTGATTACACCAGGAAGCACTGGTGTGCTCCTGCCGTGTCATGGAATCACCTTGGCGGTGACCAACTCACGAGGCAGTGGGATATTGAGAAGAAGTGGACCACCGCGAATGGCTGGAAGAAGCCATATCTGTACCGCGACGCCTATCACGATTCAGTGGAACCGCACATCGAAACGCAAAAGGTGGGCTGGGACAACCTGAGCCAGGACACGAAGATCGTTGCACCAGAAGGACGTCGGCAAAAGCTCAAAGACGACGCTGCGAAGAAGGAGAAGGAGAAGGAGAAGGAGGAGCAAGACGCCGAGAAGAAAGAGAAAGAGAAAGGAGAGCAAGACACTGCCAAGAAAGAGGAAACCCCGAAGGAAGAAGACAAGACCCAGCAAGACGACAAGAAAGAACCCGCAAAACTCAAACTCGACACCGCCCCACCCCCCGACTCCCGCGTCTTCCAAGAAGCCGGCGCCCTCCCCACCTCGAACAGCATCTCCAAACGCGAAGACAAGAAAGGCGACAAAAAGGACGACAAAAAAGGCAAGGAAATGAAGGAAGACAAGAAAGAACCGCCAAACTGGGACAAGCTAGCCGAGAAACACCCCGATGCAGCAGATAGCTCCGAGCGCTGCCAGGCCGTTTGCTCAGAAGTGGAAGACTGTCTGCAATGGCGGTATACGGCGAAGGGGGAGGGAGAGTGCCATCTCAGTAAGGTGATTCGGTTGGGTGGGAAGGTAGGGGATGAGGAGTGGACGAGTGGGTGGGAGGTTGAGAGGATTAATGGGATCAGGAAGGAGTGGGCGTGTAAGGAGGTTAAGTGGAGGTTTTATCAGTGAGATGGGTGAGATGGGTTCGGAGGGTAGATTGAGGAAAAGAATGGCGTTTTTGGTGTTTGTTTGTAGGAAGTGGGATTGAGATGAGAGCTTTTGTATAGTGTTGAGCTACTCTTTATTAGAAGCTCGGAAGCTTTGGAGGACGCGAAGTGGTTGTATATACCCTTGTTTTGTTAATGTATATGGTCATGGCATGATGTCTTTGGGTTCAGGAGCTGAGTGAAGGTCGTACCGCAGACATGAAGTGGGTCTATCTTTCCACAACCACGGCTGTGTTCCGTCGCTACCACGTCACGCATATATAGCCAAACATTATTTCACCATATATGTGTCGCCGCGTATGATATTCACTTTTCGCTTTTCTCAATCACAAACGACATCAAACGGCGCCACTTTCACTCTTCGACAACGACGACTTTTCTGTTCATCAACTTACATTACAAAACTACTTCTCGTTTCTGTCGACACTCCGACGTCACCCAAAAAAAAAGGTACAACCAGTTTGTATAGATACGGAAAGTTTCACTCACAACCTAGTCCTTTCAGAAGTAACGGACGATGCTGCTAGCTCGACTCTTCGGTCATATCCAGATGCGAGCACTCTACGGACGGTTTCCTCCTCCCAGAGGCTCGATAATCTTTGGACTGGCATGCTGCTGGGGCCAATGGAAGATGGACAGGGCACGGTTGGAGAGAAAGAAGGGAAAGATCGCGAGCCTAATGGGCGGGGTGTAGACGATGCCCATGCGGAATTGTCAGTTCAGATCAGCGAGCCCACCATCAAATTCTCTTCAACTCATCAAGATCACCATACAAACGTCGTCAGCCTTCCAAGTATACCCCTGGCGCATATGAGCAAAATCATGCACCCCACCGTTCCTGCCTTCCCGCGCTTGACCTGGAATGGCAGGCGCGATACGCCTTCTTGGCTACTTGCATTCTGCCGGCATATCTATCATAGATGCCGTATCATCGTCAACGTCAGTCAAATCTACTCACGAAACTTACTCTCCTTCTTTACCATCCGCATATCATGGAGTCCACCGCTCTCTCCCAACTCAAGACCCTGCTAGCCGCCGCCCCAACCCTCCGCGCTCAACTCAGCAACACCGAGCGCCTCCAACTCAGCGGTCTAGCCGAAGCGCTTAGGAACGAATTGGAAAGACCAGATGAAGCTGTCTTCCGGGTGACGTTTAATGAGGTACGTCTCATAAGTTATGGTGGTCTTTTCCAGGTTTGCGGGGTTGTGGCTACTGCATCTGGTTGACTAGCGCTAACCACGAACGGAATGCATTCAGCCTGGACATTATCTCGCTATTCGACTCGCTTTGCAATGGGGAGTTTTCGAGGCGTTGGGTGATGTTGGGGAGAAGGGGGTGTCGTGTGAGCAGATTGCTGAGGGTGCGGGGGCGGATGCAAGGTTGGTTGGTATGTGTGCACTATCGCAAACTATAACAAATGCCCTCAAGATTGGCATGCGGAACTATTTGGAGGGACTGGAAATCTTTGTCTCATGAAATGATACTAATGAAGAACGTACAGCACGCTTCCTACGCCATCTAGCAGCAAACGGCACGATCCGTGAAGTCGATCATGATACCTACGCAAGCACTCGGCTCTCAGCTTCTCTGAGGCAGAAGTCGTTCAAAGATGCTGTGCACTTCATGTAAGCCCCAAACTCATACTCTCACGCACATACATACGTCTCAATACTCATACCACACCCACAACAGGTTCGACGACTTTTACAACGTAGGCTGGCGCGTCCCCTCCTTCCTCGACTCAATTTCCCACCAGAATCCATCCGACATCAACAATGGTCCCTTCCAACACGCACATGGTTCCTCTAACAAGTCGCTATACACGTATTTTGACGAAGACGCAGCTATGGGAGAGCGATTCGGCGGTATGATTCAGATGTACAACGCTGGTAAACCTTTCTTTTGGGAGGATGGGTACTATCCATTCAAAGAGCGGTTGGTTGCAGGTGGACCTGTGTCTGACGATGAGGTGCTACTTGTTGACATTGGAGGCGGCGATGCGGGCGATTTGGGGATGTTGAGGAAAGCGCTTGGAGGAGATGTCAAGGGGCGACTCGTGCTGCAGGAATTGAAGCATATTGTGGATAGAAGCGAGCAAGATGGATTTGAAGCACATGTTGGGGACTGGAATGAGGTTCAGCCGATTAAAGGTAAGTTCCTACGGTCATGCCGCAACCCTACTCATACGGCACTAACGGTCCCTAATAGGTGCGAGGGCCTATATGCTCCAACATATTCTCCATGACTTCAGTAGCGATGACGCATGTCGCCGTATCCTGAGCAATATCGTCTCCGCTATGAAGCGCGGGTACTCCAAGCTCCTCATCAAAGAGCTTCTAATACCCGATCGAAACGCACCGTGGGCGTTTACGGCCATGGATGTCAACGTCATGCAGTCACTTTCTGGTCAAGAGCGGATTGAGTCGCAGTTTCGCGAATTACTCGAGTCGGTGGGGCTCAAAATTGAGGGTATTTGGAGTCATGCGAACGCGTTGGACGTTGTTATTGAAGCCTCTCTGCCTTAAAATGACGCCTCTCCCTATCTACACCAGTTCCCAATCGCTACCAGATGCCTCTTTACTCGATATAACATACTTCCTCCATCCCTCCTCCTCCTCCTCACCATTCCCCTCCTCCTCCTTGTCATTCTTGTAGTCGTAATCCCACAACATATCTTCAAACTCAAACATGTACTCGGGATGAGACAGGCCCTGAACCCAGTAAAAGAACTCAGGGTAGAATCCTTCTTCTTCTACGCGCGGAATCTGGACTTGCTCGAGGAATTGGACTAGGTCGGGTGAAAGTGCAGACCGTTCGACTTCGGCTTCCTCGCCGAATACTTGGAACCAAGATTTGCTGTGCGACGCGAGTGTATCTGGGGACCGGTCTGAGCCGACCCAGCCATGTCGTACGATTTCGTTGTGGAGAGAGATGCAGCGTTCGACGTTCATGGGTGATGGGACGATGGGGCATTGAGGGAAGGCAAACAGAGATATCGGAAGCGGGTTACAATACATGTCTGTGCTACCGGCTCTTTGTATGGCAATTGCGATTGATAGCTTTATCGAGAAAGATGCTACGCAAGACTACAGCGCATAGACGAAGACCTAGGCTGCAAAGGAACTAGCAGCCAAGACGGGCGGCTCGGAAGTCAAGTTTAGGAGAAGAGGGTAGCGAATATATGGAAAGCCTAGAATATGTGCGTGTGGTGAAGGCGGCGATGAGCGAAGCGGTGTTCCCGTCTCTCAGGTGAGATTGTCTCGGTCACAAGGTGAATGCTGACCACCAGGCCTCGCATGGCAATATTTTAGCGACAAGGTAAGAATGAGAAGTCATCTCTCTCACTCTTTGGGAGTCTACACCTCGAAGGGCAGGTAAGAGGCAGTGGACTGCAAGTGATTGTTTACTTAAAGTCTTTGGTATTTCTCCTGATTCCTACACTCCATTTCTCCCTACCTCTGCGATCGGATCAACATCAGAGTCAGGCAACAGTATGCCACCCAAGAGATCCCACGCCGAGATGTCGGCTACAGGAAATGAACCGCCTGCGTTGGATGTTTGCCCACAAGGAGAACATCTGGTCGCTTTGTGAGTGGTTACGTTCTTGCTTGAAGTACACTCCACTGACCATCTTCGACAGTGCACAACGAGAGCATGAATTTGTCAAGATATCACTAGGTACCTATGACGCCAAACTCGGTTCCATCTTCCTGCCCCGTAAGAAGTTCGAATCCGTCTATCCCAGTGACCACGACTTTTTCTACCATCAGCGTGGACCCGAAACCGCACCGAAACTGTTGCTTTCCGGAAGGAACTGCCCCGAGGTACTTGGTCTGTTCGTACAATGGCTCTACACTGGAAGATACACTGAGTTGAATGGCCCAGTAAAGAAGCTGGACAGCATTACCAGGACTCCGCGCCTGGACATGTGCAACTCTTACGAAAAAGACACTATGGAGTGGACAGCCAAGGCTGCGGTACTGGCTTGGACTTTGGGTAACGACTTGAGATTACCCGAGTTCCAGAACTATGCTATGAAACGCCTCTTCGCCGCTTTCTCACGCCCTTCCAAAAGACCGCTACTCACACCAGCCTTGTATAAATACGGTCAAAAAGTAGACCAACACTGGTTCTTCGGAAGTCTCGCCTCCAGGAGTAAATGGATGGACAAGGGACAACTGGAGCAGGCGCTGGGCGTAATCATCATTCGAAATTGGGGCGACACGGCTGTTGTTGATCAAGAGGAAATGGAATCGTGGTCCGATTTGCTCAGATCATGCGACGCACTCCGGGACAAGTTCCTTGAAGGATCTTTATTGTCGCTCGAAGAACGTCGTGAGAAGGTCTTGGTGGCAGAAGATTATTTCGAAACAGAAGTCTAGAGGGAGGAGGAGATATTAGGTACGGATGGCGAGTGCGAAAGCCTTTAGTTACCTAGATATCGTACGAGGAGCTCATTGCCGGGCTCACGGAAGGCCACCCCAGGGTTTGGTCAGCAACCAATGCGCGAACCTCAGATTGATTCGTTAATGATTCGTGATGTGCGTATACATGACAACGGTGGCAGTACAGCTTATTAGCAATGCGGAAAGGTGGTGATGGAGTCGTCACCAGGCCGAGCAGTCAGATCGCTCTCCCGCCCCGAACGCGCCAAGACCCAGAACACCTGACCGCGCGCCTTCCCATTCCCATTCCCCCATCACCAACACAAACCTCATCTCTATACCCTGAATCAATTTGCAAAAACAAGCTTCCCTCAACAAACGCATCACCAGGTACTCAATTAAATCAACTCGGTCAACCATTGTTTCGAGACCAGCCTCACCGCCAGTAACGCCGGCATCCCAGCCACTCTGCCAGCATTCCAGCCCCTCGGCCCATGGACGCGACCCAACCACCCACGCGGCGCACGCACTCCGCCACGTCTGTACAAAAGTGCCTGCATGCCACCTGCAGAATGGACTACGACTTGGCTTGCAGATTTCCTCGCTGATATTATTAACTCGATTCCCCTCACACACACTTACCATACACTTGTACTTCGTCACACTTTTCGAGTTCCTTCGTACTACTATCGCTATCCTTGATCATTCGATTGCTTCCAGGATACCATCACTTGACTACTGAGTGTTGCTTGGACGATAGCGAGCTTGGACACCACCACGACCGCGTTATACAAAACCATTGCTTGTTTGCGCTGAGATTACAGTGCGCATACAATCATTGCTCTGTTTACGAAAGGACGATTTACTGACTTTACTACAGAAAACTTGTCGCATCACCCACACCAACACCAACACCAATACCACCACCTCCACCTCAACCACTCCAACCAACGAGACACCCTCGTTCCCACCACCCACAACCGCAACCATGCAGCGCAACATCGTCATCTTCCTCATCATCCTCATCCTCTTCATCCTCATCGCCGCCATCGCATACCTCATCTACTACCTCCAGACGCGCATGGCTGTCGGCGGCACCGCGTCGTCTGTTTCGGATATGACTGAGAACGTGTAAACGTCCCACAGTATACCACGACGCACACCACACCACACAGCGCAACGATACAACAAGAGAAAAGAGGAACAAAAGAGACATTTTAACGACGATATGAAAGATAGTACAACACACCAATAACATATGCATGGCACCGGCGTTTTTAGGCAGTTGCGATTGCATGGCTATGCGACTTGCGCCTTGGAGTTTATTGTACGCGAGAACGAGATAATGCGATTGAAGAAGTCATGTTGATTGGCATGGACTGGGCCGAATTGGGATACCCGAAACGTTATTACGGAGCTTATTGTTATGTTTGTATATACAATTGCGCATGGAATGGAACGAATCACATACTCAAAGTTACTTAAAACCACTTCTCTTGATTATCATGCCCGTGAACTGATTCGACTTGATTTGACTTGAGCCTCTGGTCACAACTTGGGAGAGAGAGAATTTAGTACAGGAAAAGCGCATGCCAACCACAATGGTGTGCTGACATGGACTTGCAAGGCACGCGATCATGTTCACACTGGGCGTTGTAGGTCATATCTTAGGCGTATGTATAAACGTTGTAAATTTTGAACGATACCAGATACACAATGCGAAACTGGAACCGCTTGAACGAAGCCTTGATACTCCAGTATTCCCTTTCCGTACCTATCCAAAGAAGTTCTTATAATACATTTGGTGCCTATACGCCATACCCAGCAGACACATGTGTACCCTTTTGCAGCTGATCAGGGTCCTCCCCAGCCCCCAAGCGCATCAGAGGATTGGAAGAAGAAAACTGCTCCGTGGGTATCAACCGGGACACGGTTGGTGGTTTGCGCAAAGGTGGAGGAGGTGTGATGGGAGATACGGTCGGCGACTGGAGGAACGATAGAAGAGGTGTGATGGGTGACCATGTCGGGGAACGGAAGTTTTTGGGTAGCATCTTCGCGTATGGCATCGCGGGGGCGAAGTCGAATCGAACTTCACCGGAAGGGAATATCTTGATCGGCAATTTCGGTTTCGGGTACTACTCGACTCAAGCGGATTAGTCGTCGTTCATCACTGTGTCGTTGGTGTCGTCACCGTTTAGAGGCTCGTCCACGTTCTCGGTGAAGACTAGGTGGCTTTCGTAGTATTCGAGCATCTGCGAGATGTTAGTATGGTGAATGATATCCAGAAAACATGTTTTGACGCACTTTTTGTGGACACTTTTGGTAGACGTGCTTGAGAGGGTGCTGTGTCTTTTGCTTATTTGTCCACACCAAGTATGCAAACTTCTCCAGTTGGCCCGTCTTGGGGTCCTTCGTTTGCTCCACCGTGTCGATGTGGTCGACGTCGTGTTCCCATGAGCCTGGTGGTGGGCTCCATTCTACCACTTTCTTCTCTGGCTTGTCTGCCTTGGCGCGCTTCGTGGAGGAGGACGGGGTGCCAGACTCGGATTTGATGCCGGCGGTCGACGGTCGTCCCTTCCGCTTCTGGCCCTTGGGTTCTGGTCGGCCTCCGATCTTCTTAAAGTACTCGTTCAGGACATCAATGGCTCCCTCCCTGCGACTGTCAGTCTCAACCCAGTACAGAGCAATATCGCAACGTACATGTTCTCCTCTGCCTCCCATGTCCGGTCCTTGGGGTCGTCGTAGCCTTCCCATTTCACGTCGAATTGGAGGACGCCCTGGTGTTGTCAGTGTTTGCGCGTGGGAAAGAGGTGGTGTTTGCGCGCACCTTTGTGAATCTGTGGCCGTGAATCGCCTCAACGACATATCTGTCGCATTGTCAGCACGATGCGATCCGTATACATATGGGTGTGCGCGTACTCGTCCTCTCCCACCTCACTGTCATCCTCGTCCTCTTCATCGTCTATGGGATCCTCCTGCACCGGCTGCTTTCCCTTTCCCTTTCTTGGCTGCGCGGGGACGTCTTCGGCGTCCGAGGACCCGTGATCGCTAAGAGCAGCTGCGCAAGTTAGCAGCTGGATATTACGCGTATGGTGATTGTTTGGGCGGGCGGGCGCGACTCACGAGGCATGTTGAAACGCGGTCGCTAGAAATGGAGAATGGATATGACGGAGACGTCAAGCTTCGTGGAGCTTGAGGCGATTCGGATAAGCGCGATTGGAAGGCCGCGATGCGCTGGGGATGGGTGTGGTGGCAGCTCGGGGCAGCAAGCGTCAGGGCAGATCGGAGAGTTGGAGCTGGCGGAAGGCGCGTTCGCGACTCGCGGCCGTGCACCCTGATGCCAAGCCCCTCTGGGGAAATTTCAAGACCGACATGGCAGCTGTTTGGACATACCCCACCACCCCTCACTACCAAACATACCCGGGATTCCCTCCTAGTGTGTGTCTGTAGTCTGATACTTCTTCCGAGTCGTGCATTTGTTACTTCAGCGGGCATTTTCACACCGCAAAGATGCGTAAGTGCGGGCAGCAACAGCTCCGAACTCCCCAACCCTCAGTAGTGAGTTGCATACGCTAACGTTATATAATTACAGAGGTCGACCTTTCCAACGGTATGCGTCCGAATCAACTACGAAACGCCCACGAATCAACGACTGACAAAGTGGGGTATAGCGCAGGTGATGAAGGATGAATCGGGCAGGCCATTCATCATTGTCAGAGAGTACGTGGAATATTGTGGAGAAAGCTCAAGGCTCTATAAGAGGCAGCAGCTAATATCCGGGGCAGTCAAGGCAAGAAGCAGAGGCAACACGGCAACGATGCGGTCAAGTCCCACATCCTCGCGGCCAAGACGGTCGCGAACATCGTCAAGAGCTCTCTGGTACGCAGCACCGCTCTAGTGGAAGGAAGTAGGACACAAACTTATGAAACTAGGGACCCCGAGGACTGGACAAGATCCTGATTTCACCCGACGGAGACATCACAGTCACAAACGACGGCGCCACCATTCTTTCCCAGATGGAAATCTCCAACCACGTCGCGAAGCTACTAGTCGAACTATCCAAATCACAAGACGACGAGATTGGTGACGGAACAACTGGTGTCGTAGTCTTGGCGGGCGCGCTTCTCGAACAGGCAGCAGACCTTATCGACAAGGGCATCCACCCCATCAGGATAGCAGACGGGTACGACCAGGCTTGCGAGGTTGCCGTGGCCAAGCTCGACGAGGTCAGCGACGAGATCCACTTCTCCAAGGACAACACCGAAGAGCTATTCAAGGTCGCAAAGACAAGTTTGGGCAGCAAGATCGTTTCCAAGGCGCACGACCAGTTCGCCAAAATCGCCGTAGATGCTGTGCTTTCGGTCGCAGATCTCGAGCGGAAAGACGTCGATTTCGAGCTCATCAAGGTTGACGGCAAGGTCGGTGGATCGCTTGAAGACACATTACTTGTCAAGGGTGTCATAATAGACAAGGACTTTTCGCATCCCCAGATGCCGTCCGAGGTCAAGGACGCCAAACTCGCCATCCTCACATGCGCGTTCGAGCCACCGAAGCCCAAGACCAAGCACAAGTTGGACATTACCACCGTAGAGGAGTTCAAGAAGCTACAAAACTACGAGTCAAACAAGTTCACCGAGATGATTGAGCAGATCAAGAACACGGGCGCCAACGTAGTAATATGTCAGTGGGGTTTCGACGACGAGGCCAACCACCTTCTCCTCACAAACAAGCTGCCCGCTGTACGGTGGGTAGGAGGCCCAGAGATCGAGTTGATCGCCATCGCAACCAACGGACGCATCGTACCCCGTTTCGAGGACCTCAGCGCAGAGAAGCTCGGAAAGGCTGGCATCGTCCGGGAACTGACCTTCGGAACCACTCGCGACAAGATGCTGGTCATTGAGGAGTGTGCGAACACAAGGGCTGTCACTGCCTTCATTCGCGGTAGCAACAAGATGATCATCGACGAGGCCAAGCGGTCACTACACGATGCCCTCTGT